ATTTTTTTTGAAACAGTACAAAAATTATAGTCATTTGGTGGCCCCAGTCCCTGTCATCCAGTGCAGGCTGAACTAAACCCTGCAGGAACACCACTCCTTAGAGAAAAATCAGTATTTTAATCAGTCTTAGTTGTGTCCTTGAGCCTCCAAGGAGCTCTCTGTTTGCACCTTCTCCAAGACATACCTGCTCGTTCTTTTAGCAATTCATGGGACATTCTCCAACATCACAACTCAGAAGCACCAATTCTTCTTCTGTCATCCTTATCCATTGGTCAACTGTCAGATGCACAGCAAGTGATTGAAAAAACCTGAATCAAATGCACCTTAGTGCTCAAACTGACATCATTGCTCCTCAGTAATTTGGAGAGGTCCCTGACCTCCTCACTGCTGGCACCAAGTGTATTTTTTTGTGGATCCAAGTAAGATGAAGCTGACAGTTTCATTGTTTTCTTCACTGATCATAATGTTGTCTATCTGTCCAGGGTTGACTATTTTTGTAACCTTGATGTTGAGATGCGATCCGTACTGATTTTGATTTTAGGAAACACCAGTCTTAAGGCTGTTCCTAAAATATCAACCTAAGTTGTGTTAACAAGGTGTTGAGAAGTTAAATGTTGTTTGCATGTGGGGTTAGGAGGTTGTCCATTTATCTCTAAAAATTCCAAACCCATTTTTAACCAGTCACGCCCTTTTCAAAGATGGCCGGCCTCACTGCCCTCATTCAACATGTTTTTTAATCAACTCCTATGAATTTAAAGGTCGCTTGACCCAGTAAGAGGGTAGCCGCATTCCATTACTGAAAAGAATTTTACCACTGAATCAAACTTATCCCTTGTATTTGGCGTTTGCTTTGGGGGGGGGCGTGGCTACCAGGAGTAAAAATGGCTCCTCGATGAAATAAATAGGAAGTGAAGCTATGACGGCGAGGCGTTGCCCGGCCTCTTTCCCAGGTGTACTCGGCCTTAGTTCCGCTTGCCCTCAGTAGACATGGCGCTGGCCAGCGTGTTGCAGAGGCCTCTACCGGTGAACCAGCGCGGCTTTTTCGGTCTTGGGGGTCGCGCGGATCTGCAGGACGTGGGTCTAGGGAGTTCATGCGATGGGCTGAGTCTGGCTGCGCCTAAATGGGGTGTCCCCGAGGAACCAGGGATCGAAATGCTTCATGGAACCACCACTCTGGCCTTCAAGGTACGGATCCAAGCGCACGGGGGTACATCTCCAAGTACCTGCACCCCCCAAGTCCTGCCTGCAGGACGGGAACCTCCCTCCAGCTGCCTGGAACCGGAAAACCCCATCAGGCACTCGGTCCTTTCGTCTCCACACTCGCTCCAGCGATTTAGCTGTCTCACTGTCCCGGGAGGCCTCGGTCTCTGCCCGGGCGGGGGGTGGGTGGGGGGTGGCGGGCCGGGCGGTGGCGGGCCTGGGAGCAAATGAAGGAATACGCGAGGTTACTTGATTTGTTTTTGACGCGACCCGGGTTAAGGGGAGGCTAGCCTCTAAGGAACATTGGCTGTTGCGATGTTTCACTAAAGATTTTGGTAACTGAGCAGCCCCTCTAGGTTATTCGATGTCTTAACAGGGAGGTTTGGTGAAGTAAAGGGGGGAATAGAAGCTTCGCAGTTGGGGTTCCCGGCGCAGCAATGCAAAATTAGATTGAGAAGTTTGGACAAGTCATTCAATCATATGGAGCCTGTTTTCTCTTTTATAAAGAAGATAATACCGATTATGCCCTAGTCACGGGATTAATGTGACCCTCAAAGTGACAGTAATATTCAGGAAAGTTTATTGTGTTATTTAAATGAGAAAGAGATGTGCTGGGTATCCGATGTTTTTCAGGACTGATGTGGCCTGTTTGGCATTTTCCGTTGATCTTCACAGTTTCGCCATGGTGTCATCGTGGCAGTGGACTCCCGGGCCACAGCAGGTGCTTACATTGCATCCCAAACGGTGAAGAAGGTGATCGAGATCAACCCCTACCTGCTAGGCACCATGACTGGAGGTGCAGCGGATTGTAGCTTCTGGGAGAGGCTGTTAGCTCGGCAGTGTCGAATCTATGAGCTTCGAAACAAGGAACGCATCTCAGTAGCAGCTGCCTCCAAGCTGCTGGCCAACATGGTCTATCAATATAAAGGCATGGGGCTGTCCATGGGTACCATGATCTGTGGCTGGGACAAGAGAGGCCCTGGTGAGTTAAACTACAATCCCGTGATCCTTTAGCTGCCACAATAAGCAGAGGTTGAACAGAAGGGCTCTGTGCCAGTGTTTGAGGATGCACTGCTTAGGTTCTTGGGCTTTCTCTCTGTTCTTTATTCATAGAACATGCAGCATGGGAGTGTAGAAAAGGGCATGGAGTTAGTTGTGTCATAGACTACAACTGTGACCTTAGGTTGCTTATTCACTCACCCTCTGGTTCTTCATCCGTGATATTGGTTAAGTGAGGTAATAAATGGAAAGCATCTAGCTCAGAATGTTTCTGTTCTCTCACATAAAATTATAAGACCTATAAAGAGTTGTATTTGAGAATCAGATTACAGATGTAAAAACTCTTTAGCTAGGGCTAGAGTAGAAATAATGTCATTTAAATTTTTCTAATAGACACAGTAAAAAAGATGAAACAATTTTAATCATTTAAGTGTTTGCTGCTAACTAAAAAGTCAGTGATTTGAACCTACCCACTACTCTATTGAAGAAAGATATGTCAGTAAATATTTACTTAGCCTTACAAACTTTGTGGGGAAAATTTGCCCTGTCCTGTAATGTTCCTGTGAGTCAGAATCTACTGAATTGCAGCAAGTTTAATTTTTTTGGCTAATCTTGAATACCCGAAATAATTGTCATTTCAACCTGTGGCAATCACCCTCGCTATTTGAGTCAGGGCCATCTCAACAGCACACAACAACAGTTTGTAGTTGTGTGTACCATCGATTCAGAATCAACTTAGCTCTAGCAGGTTTTCAGAGGCATTGAATCAAATCACATGGGGAGGAATTGCTGATCTTTGTGGAACTGTTGGTGGATTCGAACCATATGTGGTTGGACACTAAAAAGTTAGTTGTTCCTCTCCCTTTTTCTCTTAAGAAAGTTTTTGACCCAAAAGGGACCTTTTGGACTCACCTCTTTTCTGTCCTTACCTGATACTGTCATCCTAGGTCCTGTTCTGTCATCTTTGAAAAGAAATTCCTTAGTCTAGTTTCCTTTCCAGTCTTTTAAAACCTTGGTCGGAAAAATTGACCTTATAGCCAATGTCAGTTCCTCTTTGGCCAGTTTTGAATGCCCCTTTGGGTAGGCTGGAATGTAGTCAGTCAGTTTATTTCGTTTTTCCTTGCATATACTTGAATTATTTTTCCTCTTCATGTTTTTGCTTGGTTTATTTATTTGCTTACTGACTCTTTAATTATAGAATATCTGTAGGATGCTTTGCACTTTTTTACATGCTTTGGAGTAGGATATGAAGAGGTATAGAAGGGTTAGCTTTACTTCACTACTCAATAGAGGATAAATGAAAGAATGAAAAAGTGCAGATGAGATAGATGTTAATTAGGAAATGGAAGTATTTTTCTCTTCAAAAGGTATGAAAGAACAGTTCCATAGATTTTGCCTGGTCCAGAGAAATGTTTTGGAAATACACTTTGAAAAATGCAAGCCGATTTGCCTGTGGCCATTGGGTTTGTTTCATGTGTAAATGCCCAAGAACACAGACTCACTGGCACGGAAAATCTAGAAAACCAGAGCATAGCCTGGTTTGTGCCCTCTTCTCGGAGCTTCCTGATGGCACCATCACCCTGAGTATAAGTCAGCCCCTTCAAGAAGCTGATCATAGATTTTGAAAAGAGGTTCTGACCAGAAGATGTAAGAACACTTCATGAGTTTTTGTTATGTATCTGACCTTCAGCGGGTTTTCAGAAGCAGTAAATCACAAGGGAGGAGATTGTCTATCTTTCTACCCTGGAGCAGCTGGTGGATTTAAATTGCATGCCTTGGCAGTGCACCTCCTTATCACTAAGCTGCCAGAGATTCCTACTTCATGAGTTGTTGTGTTCTGTCAATTCAGAACCAAGTCATAACTGACCCTCCAGCAGGTTTTTCAGAGGCAGTTTTAATTGCACAGGAAGCAATTGCCCATCTTTTCACCTGCAGGGAAGCTGGTGGATTCAAACTGTGTGCCTTTGGGATGGCTGCCCATCTCCTTACCACTAAGCCACCAGAACTCCCTAATTCATGGGAATTTTTGGTAGGAGATAAAGAAATGTAAAGAAACCCTGATGGCCCACTGGGGAAGGAGTTGCTCTTTGAACCCAAAGATGGGTGGTTTGAATCCACAAGCTGATCCAAGGGAGAAAAATGTTCATATTCCTCCTGTGTAATTTACAGCTTCTGAAAACCTGCCAGAGGTGCAGCAATGGGTCAGTGAGCACAGGGAGGGAAGAAAGAAGCCTCAGGTTTTGAGAGAAGTCACTGGATGTGCTATTTAATTGGAATTAAGAGTGTGCGAAGGGGAGTACTGAGCCAGAAAGGTAAATTGGAACCAGATGTTGAGCCGTTTAGGCAAGGGAGTGGCATTGGGATTGAGGAGGGAATAGGAAAAGATCTGCGGCAGACATTAGAATAAGGTCTAATCACCCTGAAAACAAAAGGGCAGTGATTCTCAATCTTGCTTGCATTAGAATTGCCCGAAAACCTTAAGTTTGTTCCCCACTCCTAACAAATTTAAATCCTAATTGGGTTAAGGCCTAAACATTTTTTTAAAATATATTTTATTTTATTTTATTATTTTTGTGTGCATGTACCGTCACATCAGATCTGACTGGCATAGGAGGAGATTGACCCACCTTCCCCGGCAGAGCATCTGGTGGATTCGAACTGTTCACCTCTGGGATTGTAGTTGCAGCTTCTTGCCACTAGGCCACCAGAGCTCCCCTCCTAAACATTTTTTTACGAACTTCCTTAGTTGATTCTGAGGCATAGTGATAGTTGAGAACTACTAAAATAGTTAAAAGATTGATGGTGTAATTGGCAAAAGTTGAGAACACAAAAGGCAAAAGAGTTTGATAAGATGATGGTGAACCACTGAAGTATTTGAGGACAAGATTCAGATTTGGACATTTTAAACCTGAACTTGGTGAAAAGGTACAAACTTGGAGGAGGAGTGAAGCAATGAGAATTGAAAAGAATTTTTTTAAATTCCTTTTTTGAATTTCCTTGACCCTTATGGTCTATAGTTCTTGTTTACCATCACATGAGAACTAACCCATGGCTCACCCTGCAGCAGGTTTTCAGAAGCAGTTATAATCACATAGGAGGAGATTGCCCATCTTTCTCCCCTGGAACAGCTGGTGAATTCAAACCACATAGCTTTGGGTTACTAGCACAACTCCTTGCCATTAGGCTACTAGAGGTCCCTACAGTCTATAGTTGTTATTGTTGTGTACCATTGAGTCACAACCTACTTAGAACTGACCCTCCAGCAGGTTTCCAGAGACAGTAAATCGCACAGGAGGAGTGATTTCTCCTGTGGGGCAGCTTGTAGATTTGAATTGTGAGTCTTTGGGTTGCGTTGACACTACCACTCCTTACCACCTAAGACACCAGAGTTCACTGTAATCTGTAGAGAGGCTTCCAAACATTTTCAAAATAGTTTGTAGGCCATATGGCATTTTCATACTTCTTAATTCTGAACAAAAGCAGCCTTAAATAACTTGTAAATGAATGAATGTGATTGTGTTCCCATATAACTTTATTTAAAAACCAACAGTTGGCTTTTGCTGATCCTGATCTATATGACAGAAGGTTGTACAGTAGTAGCATAAACCTGTGGTCTTTGAGTCAATTCCAAACCCGCAGGACAGAATCAAACTGTCCTAGGGGTTTTCAAATCTGTAAATCTTTAGGGAAGCAGATTGCCACATATTTCTCCCACAGAGCAGGTGATGGATATGAACTGTGCACCTCTTGGTTATTAACAGGCACATGCTTAACTGTTTGTATCATCACCAGGCTCCTTCAATAGAAATAAATAGATATATAAATAAATAGGAATCATATGTGTAATTTAGAATTTTATACTAGCCACATCTTAAAAAGTGAAAAAAGAAGTAGTTTTGAGGTGTTGGTTTTTTTTTTAAAAAAAAAAACAAACTTCTGTGGGTTAGGTGAAAGTCAAAAGATCAAAGCATCACTCTCAGTAGTTGCAGTCTCCACAGTGTGTGAGTACTCGCCTATTTCTGTCTTGGGTTCCCTGTTCCGTGTGCCCAGTTATCCTGTCTTAACTTTGCTTTTGGGCAAAGCTGCCATTTTGGTTTCCTGTAGTTGGTTGCTCTGAGGAGTGTGTTTATCCTGGGTGTTTACTTTATAGCTTGTCTTCTACTTAGCTAAAGTGTGAACTGTTAGGACTTAAATTATAGACACCATTGGCAACTCCACCAGTAACTTTGTGGTCTTTTATTATGAATTTAAACTTTATTTTACCATTTTCCTCTCACCCCACCCAGTAGCTTTTATTGTGATCTCTGTCTGTGGCAATAGCTGGGCTCCGTTTAGTTCTGGTCTCAGGTTGGTAGAAGCTGTGGCTCATGTGGTCCCTTCAGCCTTTGGACTGATTGGTTTCTTGAGTCTTTAATGTTCATCGCTCCAGCTGGAAACAGACCAGCTTAGATGGCTACTCTCAAGCTTTGAAGACCCTTGTCACTATTCACTCAAGTAGCACATAGAGCATCGTCTTTGTGTATTGTATTGTATTGTATTGTATTGTATTGCATTGTATTATGCAGTTGATCTCGATGTCCCCAAGACTGGTCCTGGCCCTTCAAACCCAGGGTCTAAGTCTCAAGAAGTGGGAAAGTTGTATCAAATACAATGTATATGAATTACTGTATGCAAACTAAGAAAAAAGAATTTACCTAGTTTCAGAAAAACCATACACATACAAAACGAAGTGGGAAAGTGGTTATAGTTTGGAGATTTTCATGACTGTACTCCTAAACAAAGCTAATTTTGATTGTGTTTTATTTACCCAGAATATCTAAAATACTATCACTTCAACGTATAATACCGACTTTATTTCACTTACTCTGTAGCTACATGTAGCTAGTGGCTACCGTTTTGGACAGAGCGAGTCCGCAATATGATTTTGAACTCTAGGCTTATGTATGACTTAGATCACCTAAACTTTTTAGAGTATTTTTAAAATGTTTTCCCCACAACACCTCATTCTATGCTTGAAACCTGAATCATTGAGATTATCCTTACTTTTTGGTCTGCAGTGAAGACAGGCAAGGTAGATATATTAATGGATGTGAAGTGAGATGAGGTAGTTTTTAAATGTGTGCATATATGTGTGTGTGTACCGTCAAATCAGATATGACTGGTACAGCATAGATTGCCCCTCCTTTCGCAGAGCATCTGGTGGATTCGAACCTTGTACCTCTGGGATTTCAGTGCAACTTCTTGCCACTAAGCCACCAGAGTGCCCTTAAATTTTTTTAAAATTATTTTGTGTGTGTACCGTCAAATCAGATCTGATTGGTACAGGAGGAGATCGTGCTTCCCCTCCCCCCCCCCAGCAGAGCATCTGGTTTAAATTTTATTTTTAATTTATAATGCAGTAGTTTTCCAATATTTCTGATGGTGTGCCCTGAGTTTTAAGAGGAATGGAGAACTATTATTGTCTTGAACGATGAATTAGATGGCAGAAGAGAATGTTCATTGTTTGCCCCTGCTAACCTTCTTTCTCTTTCCAGGCCTCTACTATGTGGACAGTGAAGGTAACCGGATCTCAGGGACCACCTTCTCTGTAGGTTCTGGCTCTGTATATGCCTATGGGGTCATGGATAGGGGCTACTCCTATGATCTGGAAGTGGAAAAGGCCTATGATCTAGCTCGTCGAGCCATCTACCAAGCTACCTACAGAGATGCCTACTCAGGAGGTGTGGTCAACCTCTACCACGTCCGGGAGGATGGCTGGATCCGAGTCTCCAGTGACAATGTAGCTGATCTACATGACAAGTACAGTGGACCTGCCCCCTAAGGGAGGCTGAATGCATCTGCTTGCATTTATTGGGGTGTCATTGATAATAAGAGCACAGCACCCCATCCTGTAGTACAGGGGTTTCTAATTGATCCTTTTATTAAGCTCATGTACATTGACCTTCATTGTGTTACCAGATGTTAATGAGCTGCTGCAGAAGAAATTATTTGTATTACTTTTTTTTGCTGTTAACATTACACTACTCACCCTCAGCCTGTGTTGTGTCTTCTGTCCACATTGTCCCTCCTCCAAGCACTTTACAGTCATATAAGTCAGGACAGTGGGAGGGAAGTATCTATAATTATAGGGAACATTGGTGTGAAGACACTGTCTAGTGAATACATTAACGTCCCCACTGGTGAAGCTAATAACAAAGGAGGAGGGAGAGACTTCCTGATTCTGTTTGTGAAAGAGATGAAAAGTTGATGAGGTGGAAAGATGCGCAGAACTGTGCTAGGCAGGGCTTTGGAGGGAAAAGCTCTTAGGCAGGGCTTTGGAGGGAAAAGCTCTCCTCCTAAAGTGGGGGCAGGGAAGCTGGTGCTACATGCAGAGCAGAAAGGTGAAGAGGATGAACCTTATATCTTAAACCAATTGGTAAGAGAAATCTTGGACTCTGGAAAAAGGTCACAGAGATGAGTATGAAAGCAGTACCTCAAGCTTAGTGATCCTTCTTCTGGTACTCTGCAGTGGACGTGTTGGGTGGACTAGGATGACGGTGGGCACTTAGCCTCTGGGCAGGAAGCAGGAATCATCACAGAATGTGTGAGAGGGGAGGAGGCCCTGCTGAGAGCAGAGATAGCTGATTTATCACACGCAGCACTGAGGGGGTTTCCAAGCTGTGGTGGCAGCAGATGGCATGGCCTTCTGTTAAAGAGAAGACCAGGAAGATGGAAGAGGTTGATGGGTAAACCTTTGAAAATGGAAGAGAAGGGCATAATCAGTACTGCCTTGTGTTTAGTGAGCAAGAATGAAGAAAGTACTGGCTGAGAGTGCCAACCCAAGTTGATGTTTTAAAACTGAAAGGTGGGTGTGGGTGTTCTAGAACTACAGGGGTTAAAGCCCCCCTTCCCTGGACTGCAGCTACCTTCTTTCACCTGCCCTTCCCCCGCAGTCTTGTGCAGTCTTTATTGATTGATGAGGGCTGTCGGCCAGAAACTGATCGAGGCTTGTTAATTGCATTTGTCAAATGCAGGGAAATTGGGAATTAGTGAGATCGGAGAAGAGTTTGGAAAACAAATGACTCGAGCCTGAGGAGATTCATTTTGCTGAAAAAGTGCCCGAGGAGCCTTAGAGTCAGAGCTGTGAAGACCAGACTGCAATTGAACAAGGCATGAGCCATGCTTCTGTGTAAACTCAGCTAATAGCTGCATGAAAGGTGCTGGTACAGTCATCCTCCTATCATTTAGGACACTGCTTTGCAGATCTTTAGGAAAATTTTAACATAGGGGAATCCCCTCAGGATAAGTGCCTACAACTGAATGAAATTAAAAAGTTGGAGTTTGAAGGAAGTCCAGAACTTTAACCCTTGAGTTTCCCACTATAATCACTCCCTAAGGAACACACCACTACCAGCACAGACACTCTATCTGGCATTCCCTTAGAACACCAAACCAAAATTTAAAAGCCTCTACAACCGAGGAAAAGGATGGGCAGTCCACTCTTGTGAGCAACTACTGAAAACCCACTGGAGGGCCAGCTGTGGGTTGGTTCTGACCCAGTGGTACACAACAACAAATCTATAACTAAAGTGCGCTTTAGAGGCAAGGATGGTGAAATTTTTGTCTGTCTTTGGTCATGTTACCAGGAGAGGCCTGTCCTTGGAAAAAGACATCATACAGTGACTACCAATGGGCTCAAGCATGTCAGACATCGTAGAACGGCAGGATAGGGCAAAGTTTCAATCACAAGCTTCATAAGGTTGCCCTGAGTTGAAGTGGACACAGTGGTACCTAACACCCTAATAACTCCTTGAGAGAGTCTCAAAGCTGGAGTTCCTTAACTTGACCAGAATGCATACCGTCCCTCCCTAACTCAGCCCTAGCCTATGTAGAGAGATTTGTCCACTCCTTGCCCCATTACTGTCTCACAACTTTGATCTAAACATTAATGTAAGTGCCTATTCTACACTAACAGGGTACTTAATCTTCTTTGTTAGCATATTCATGTTCCTGAATCTGATGTGAAAGAGGTTTCATGGAAAAGAACAATTTTGGTAGATTTTCTGGAAATAAAGTAGAGCAGAAGTAGGAGGAAACTGCAAGTGTTTTGGCCCCATGGTACCAGCCGTGTGCATGTGTGATTTTGGGCTGCTGGGTGTGGGTGGGGAGTTGGCTTTGCAGTGATGTTACCGAGTGAGTGGGGATGATGGATGCTGCACAGTATCCGAGGGATGCTGTTGAGTGGAGTGTACCAGTTCAGGGACTCCCATCAGATTCATTTCCCAGTGCAATCCTCTTGACAAAGGATGATGGAAAAGAAATTGCCTTAAATAGCTGGAAGATTAATTTCTCTCAGCAGTTCCCAGGAGTCCAGGAGACAGGGCTCTTTAAGTGACGTCTGACAATTTCTCCTCCCTCCACAGATAGCTCTGTAATACCAAAATCTAGCTCCTCGGGGTAGGTGATGGGACTAATCTGATTAAATAGGAAGCAAACACTCCTAGGGGCCTTGTGCTTTCTCTTGCTGTAGGACTGAAGGCAGATGTGCCTGAGAGCACCTCCACAGCAGGCAAGGGAGGGCTAAGCAGGGTAACACTGCACTTCGGGTGAGTAGAATGTTCCTGAAGGAAGGTGAAAAGGTAGCTGAGGACATAGGGGAGGAGGGAGGAAGAGCACAGATAAAGCAAATTGGACTGAAGCATAATAGTTACTGACTGTTCCCTCTTTAGGCAAAACCAGAAGGTCAGTGTCTCTTGATATCCTCCTCAGCTGGCAAATGAGAAAACTGTCAGAGCCGTTTGGGGAGTAGAAGGTCACATCTTTTGAGGGGGAAGTAAAACAACTGATTTATTCTGCTCCACGAATTCTATGTACTCTGTCAGGGGAGAGAAGCGAGCACTAAGATGAAAGGGAGTAAGGGGCGGGGGGAGGAAAGATGGAAGGAAATTCTAAGGAGAGTATGTCCCTGGTGACCAGACTAAAGGATGATGGGGTCAATGGAGGATCTACATGACCGTACCTAATTCAGGGTGAGCACATTTGGGTTTTTCATTTTCTGTTATTTTTGTTTTGTTAAAAGCATTGTCTCTCCCGCCACTGCTGTAGCAAAAGATAAGATGCTTTCAACTGACCAGCTGCAGTGACCTCAAGACATGATTGAGAGCTTTATAATTTAAAAAAAATACATACAACCAAGTATCTCTGCTATTTTTGTTTATTTGCTTGTTTGTTTGGTTTTTAAATTCGGGCTTCCCTTCAGGAAGTCAGAATCATATGGAGAAAGCTTTAATTATCCTGGACCAGAGGAGAACGCAAACACAGCAACCAGAACTGCCCTGCTCAGCATCTGCTGCCACCTCCTGCCTGACCCAGGCATCTCCGCTGCTTGCCCCCAGCCAGCCAGCTGTCCACATCCCTGCAGGACTCCCCAGGCCCGCCTCAGAGCCAAGTTCTGTCCAGGGGCTATGCCCCACTGAAGCATTTCAATAAAAACCATTTCTAAAATGTCCCATTTGTGGTTGTTAGCGGGTCAGGCAGAAGAAATTCTACCCACATCAGCTTCTTGGGTTTATTTAACCCAACTCATTTCTCCCTGAAGCATTTGCCTTTGACTTGGGTGCCAAGCCTAATTTGGTCATTAACTCTTTCTATTCCTGATTAAGCTGTTGTCAACCATAAATGTCAGATGTGGTTTATTTAGAAGGAAAAAAGATGCCATAGGTCCAACTTCTTTGATGTCTGCTACCCCCAAAGACATTGAGATAGTTAATTTCATCTTGCTCAGATTCACGATAACAATTTTGGCACCAGCAGTCCAGAAATCAAGGGAAGTTGCATTGGGAAAGTCTACTGTCAGGAACCTCTTGAGAGTGCTAAAGAGCAACAATTGTCAGTCCAGTGACAAAGGGGTCCTTGATGCAGCTCATGGTCTTTGCAATAATTTGCTGTGCATCAGAGAGCTGGACAATGACTAAAGATGATAGAAGGAGAATTGATGCCTTTGAGTTGTGATGCTGGAAGAGTATTGAACATACTATGGACTGCTTAGAGAACAGGTCTGTTCTGGAAAAGGTGAATCCAGGTTTCTCCTTGGGGGCAAGGACTTTGTTGTTGTGTGCCATCAAATCAGATCTGACTGGCACATGAAGGGATTGCCCCTCCTCCAGTGGAGCATCTGGTAGCTTCAAACCATGCAGGTTGGGATTGCAGCACAGTTTCTTGCCACTAGGGCACCAGAGCTCCAGGGGCAAGGCTATTGAAACTCCATCTCACATTCATTGAGCATGTGACCAGGAAGGACCAGTCCTTGGAAAAGAACATAATGCTTGGAAGGGTGGAAGGTCAGTGTAGGAGAGGAAAGACACTGGATAAGATGAATTGATGTAGTATCTGTGGTAATGGGGGAGACAGTGAGACTGGCTCAGGTTGGGGCAGAGTTCATAGGGTCACTATAAGTGGTAGTCAACTCAATGGCGCATAACAACACAACACAACACTTCCCCCCGCCCCGCCCCAGATTAACCCCATTTCCAGACTGCCTGTCTTTTCTGTTCTCCTCTTGACTGATTTCACTTTTCCTCTCTGCTCTCTTACTTCATAAAATTTCTCTTTCCTCTGCAGAATTTAAATAAAAACCAATCAATCAATAAAGCAAGTGCTGCTTATGGACTTTAATGTAACAAGAAAAGGTTATTACTAGCTGCAGGGTACCCAGAAAGCTGATGTTACAGAGGAAAACACAGATGGAGTGGGAGAAAGTGAGCGCGGGAGAATAAGAGACAAATGAGAGGCAACAAGGGAGATAGAAAGGGAGAACTGATTCCCGGACAGCAAGGGCAAGATTAAGCAAAGTGGAGAGGGAGACGTGGATGTGGCAGAGAAAGATGGATGGAGACGTTGATGGGCAGAGCTGGACGGTGCATGAGAGGGGGACAGGGAGTGGGAAAGGAGACTGAGAAGGACAGTGATAGAGCGGCAGAGAGAGATGGAGGAAGGAAGCCGCTAGAAGCTAATGCACAATGAAACATGTCCCCCTGGAGACAGATAATT